CTGCCCCCAGGGCAGAGCTGCTCCCTGCACCCTGGGACCTTCTCACAGATAAAAGACCCAAATGTCCAGGCTTTTCACCTGCCCACGAGCAGCCAGGCCTGTCTGCCTGGCAGGAGGGATCCCATTTGCTGCCTCCACCCAGTTCTTAATCACATGCAGGCATGTTTTCCTGCCCCCTTTATTCCAGTTGCTGCTCTTCTGCAAGGGGCCTGGAGCTCCTTGTGGGCGGAGGGAGCAGCTCTGACCATTGGCTACAATGGTCAAGAGAGAAGAGCAGCAACAAGAGCAGCACCCCCAACACAGCTCCTTCCTGAATCCAAACTTCAGCAGCAAAAAACCCAAGTGTTCACTTTCTACCCTGAGCTGCAGCCAGTCCTGCTGACACGAGAAGCCCCCTCTGGGCCACCTGCCCCCCTAGACTGCCCCAGGAGTCCAGAAGCCACGTCCAGAGCCAGAGCCTAATATTAGCTTTGAGAGCAATCACAGACTTGCTCCAGTAACCCGAGTTAAAAAAGGCCCTGCTGGAGCTGAAGGCTGGCAGCTTGCTGAGCCACACAGCCCAGAGAGCCAGAGAGATCCAACCTCTTGCACTTCAGTCCTCCAGTGCCTGCCACAGCCCAGGGAGGGAGCACTCAGGGGCCTGAGGGGTTCCTGCAGGGCCTACACAGACTGGTGGGAAGCTTGGCCAGAGGGAAGACGGAGCTCCTGCCGTTTTGTGCTGCTGGTTATTCTGGGACAAGATCCTGGCAGGGTCCTGGGCTATCACTGGTGCTTGGCAAGTCATTTCCATGTACATACTTGACATTGGTGTTGGTACAGATGATGTACTCAATTTCATCCGAGTAGGGGTTCTGGAAGGTAAAGGAGCTGGTTCTCATCCAGAGCCATTCCCGGTTTTTGGATCGGAATCGGAACATGACTGACAGAACCTGGCCTTTTAACTTCACCACCTAAAAAAATGTAATGCATCAGTAGGACCTGAGGAGAGAAGGAGTTGAAGAGCAACCTGCTCCCGAGCACAAGCCTCCCCACAGACCCCTGCCATGGCCCCTTGGCCTCCCCCAAGTACATGGTCCTGGTCCTGCCACTGGCCCCTCACACCATCCTGATCCCCAAGGGATGTGGGAGGGGAATCCAACAGCCCCTTTCCAGCTTCCACTTTCCTTTTTGCACTGGTGAGATGTATGAAAAAGCCTCTGGTAAATGAAGCACATGCTGTGGCTTCTGATTCCAAACTGTCTGGACAAATGGATAATGAGCAGCTACTTTCTGGAGTCATGAAAGCACAGGGGCAGCCTTACCTGCCCTGCCACCCGTCCAGCGCCCTCAGAAATAAGAGTAACGACAACAGGGCAAGCAAATCCCATCCACCTCCAGCTGCAGCACTGGGCTGGGCCTAGAGATGAACCAGGGTTTCAGCCCCAACAGCCTGGCACTCAGGTAGGCACTTGGCAGCCACGTCTCTGGCCCTAAAAGCAGACTGGACTGGCAGCCAGAGGGTGAATTCAAGAGTTAGACATCAGATGCTCCTGGTTTGCTCTGCACATTTACCATGGTGTGTCTCTCCCTGGGACTGTTTGCCCTCGGGACAAGGAGAAATACCCAGGGTTGACTTTTCTCTTGGTTTTCCAATCAGTTTCATTCCTTTTCCATCAGATTCCCAGCTGAAAAGCACCCTGCAGAGGGGCAGCTGAAGTGCTGTACCTGCTGGAAGCTGTCCCGCAGAAGCTGCTGGTCTTCTGGGTGGCAGAAATCCACAATGTCCTTCCCCAAAAGTTCCTAATGTTGAAGGAATTGGGAGAGAGAGTCAGTTCATCTGGCAGGCAGATCCCCCCTCCAGGTCTGCCCCATTAATCCCAGTTTGGACAGGGAGTTACTGCTCCCCCAGCCCCCAGTCACTGTGACACAAACCAAGCACAGGAGCTGTCATGCTGCATTTGGAAGAGAAGCACCAATAACGTTTGATCTCCCACTCCAGTGGAGGCAACAATGATCTTAATTGACAGCAGACACAACCCAGAGCCACCCACCCTTCCAGGGATCAAAGTGCTTAGGAAAACACATGGAAAAGCAACTGGTAGAAAAAAAAAAACAACCAACCAACCCACGTCTGGTTTAAGCCCTGAGTGTTGTTTTATCAGATCTGTTGGACAAGCAGAGCCACGATGGGTGAGGGAGGGAGGAGGGGATGGAAGGGGGGTCAGTGGCTCTTCCCAAGGTTCCTCACCTGAGGCTGGTTCCTCACCTGAGGCTGGTAGCCAACAGTGGCCACGCAGCGGTGGTCGATGAAGGTGAAGATGCCCTCAGTGTTGTGCCTGGAGATGAACTCTGTGGGCTGGCAAATGTTGTTCATGTCTGTGCAGTTGGGGGAGCTGGTGACCTGCCAGGGCAAGACAGGAGGGCAGGGTGATCAAGTCTGGCAAGAGCTGCTGCTCTCTCACCAGCCAACCCTGCAGTTTGTGGCAACCAGGGAACAGCCTCACACAGAAGAGTTTGGTTCTGGGGGCTTTCAGGAGAAGGCAACGTTGGAGCAGTGAGAGATGCCCCCCTAAGACCACATCTGGAGGGTTGTGTCCAGTTCTGGGCTCCCCACTTCCAGAGGGATAGACTGGAGAGAGTCCAACAGAGGCTACAGGGATGATGAAGGGACTGGGGCTGTTTAGTCTTGAGAAGACTAAGAGGGGACCTGATTAATGTCCACAGATATCTGCAAGGGGGTGTCAAGAATGGGCCAGTCTCTGTTCAGTGGTGCCTGTGACAGGATGAGGGGAAATGGCACCAAGTGACAACACAGGAAGTTCCACCTCAACATGAGGAGAAACTTCTTTGCTGTGAGAATGACAGAGCCCTGGGACAGGCTGCCCTGAGAGGCTGTGGAGGCTCCTTCTCTGGGGACTTTCAAGACCCATCTGGACATGTTCCTGTGGGATCTACCCTGGGTGTTCCTGCTGCAGCAGGGGGGTTGGACTCAATCTTCAGAGGTCCCTTCCAACCCCACGGACTCCACGATTCTGTGCCACCCACCTGGAGCCTGCCAATGGCCACCAAGCAAAACTTGCTGCCCTGGCTAGCGTCCGGGTCATCATCAGGCAGGGAAACACCTGGGAGGGGAGGGCCAGAAACCCCAGCAGGTTAGTACAGCAAAGCCAGCCCATTTCAGAGGCAAGAAGTGCAGCCCTGACTTCAGTACCCACCTCTGCCACATTTTCTAATCCCATATCCTTTCCCATGAAGAAATTTGGCAAATTCAGCTGCCTCCCCCTCCCTTGGTTCCCAGAAGGGTTAAACACCTCCCTAACTTTAGGACAGTGGGATATTATTTCCACCCTCTGCAGAATCTCTGCTGTCCAGTCACAACCTGATCCAGCCCTACAAAAATGACTTCAATCCCACACCAAGGGAAAGCGATGGAGCCGTTTGGGCAGGATTTGCTGGCACATCCAGCTGCCAGAACAGAAAATTTCAGACCCTCTGCTCTTCAAACCTGCCACAACTGAAGCCTCAGCCAGGTCCTCACCTGCAGGGGGCCAGGCCTTGATGTAGCCTGTGCAGTGCACCACGACATAGTGAGGCTCCCCATCCTTGGCTGCACCTAAACCATTCCTTGAGAGACAGAGAGAGGCTGGATGTTAAGCTGGGGTGCAGAGAGGCAAGGTTTTTACTTCTGTTTTTGAAAAGCTTCCACAGAACATCTCCAAGACTCAACAAGAGGTGCAAGAACAGAACAGGCTGGAAACCATCTCAGTTTCAAATAAAAAGGGACAATATAGACCAGAGCCAAAGAGCAGCACAGAGAAGATGAAATTATGCTCAAATCCAACCTCGGAATGAGGAAGGACTAATATTCACTGGGATTCTCTCCCTCACCACAGTTGTACTTTGGTTCCTCCAGCAGACCTGAACTCTTCTGTGAGCTGCTCACTCCCCACACACACACATACAGTGTGTCTCCCCAGCCTGGTGACAGAGCTATCACCCTCCTGTGACCCACCTGCAGCGATTCCTCATGAAGCTGAGACGATTCACAGAGACGGGATCCACGGAGCTGCTGCCACACCTGCCCCAGGAGCAGAGAGGGAGGGAAAAGCTGTTACCCCTGGGCAACATTCAACCCATCCAACAGCCTTGAAGTCCTCTATAAATGGGGAAGGACCTTGGAGCCCCCAACACACAAGTGAAAAACATTCTATAGGCTTCAAGAAGGGAGGTGACACACGGGAGTAGAACAAATTGTTCCTGGAAGGTGGATCATCTACAACAACAGCCTTGAGAGCCACCAGCACAGGGCAAAGAAACATCTCAAGAACTTCACTCTTGGCTTTGTGTGGACAGTTCAGCCATGTTGTATCATGTCTGTGCCAGAGTGTGCAAAAAAACCAAGCTGGAGTAAAAGCATGATGAGGCCAGGGAGCAAGGCCAGCCCCAGGCCCTGAGGACTTTCTCCCCCATTACCTCATCCTGCAGATGAAGGATCTCCGTGAGCCCATGCACATCCTCATGGATTGCTGCCCTTCCTTCTTCACAGTCCCTGTCTTCAGATCTAGGATGCGACCTGAAGCAGGAAGGAGACAACTCAAGATGCTGCTGCAACACAAGGCCCTTCACCAAGGCAGGCACCAGGTAACGTTGTAGGAACCAGCAAGACAAATGTCCCCAGGGGCACCTCTTGGGGTGGGGGGTCCTTGTTAGGAAGGCATCAGTTTGGTTCCTTCTGCAAAGGGAAGGTTTGGATCCAAGTGCTCTGCAGGCTGCCCCCAAGGCTGCCTCACCTGTCAGGGCATTCTCAGAGGTGGAGAGCTGCTCCCTCAGCTTGCCCACGTCGTCAGGGTGCACCTGGTCATAGAGGGTGCTCCCAAACCATTCTGACTGGGCCTGGCTCAGCACCGGGGTCACCGAGTCCGACACGTAGACCACCCGCCCCGTCTCGCAGGACACGATGAACAGGAACCCATCAGCTGCCTCCAGGATCAGGTGCTTGAGCTCCTGTAGACACAGACAGGCTCTCAGCCACAGCTTGGGAAAGACCTCACCCAGGCCAACTGGCCACCCAGGGGGAAGAAGTAAAAAAAAGACCCCAAACCCACATGCTAAACCACCCTCACCCCCCACAAAACCACCCCCACCACTGAAGCCACATAAACCCCCCCATGCCCACTGGAGCACACCCCGAAGTGCCACATCTACAGGTTTCTTGAACACCTCCAGGGATGGTGACTCCATCACGTCCCTGGGCAGCTTGTTCCAATGTCTGACCACTCTCTGGGTCAAGAAATTCTTCCTGATGCCCAATCTAACCCTCTCCTGGGCAATTTCAGGCCATTTCCTCCAGCCCTGTGGTTATTCACTTGGGAGAACAGCCCAACACCCACCTCCCTACAGCCTCCTCTCAGGGAGCTGCAGGACCATGAGGTCTCTCTCCCCTCAGCCTCCTCCTCAAGCTGAACAATCCCAGTTCCCTCAGTTTAGGTTATTTACAGTAATAAAAAAAACTGAAACCAGGAATTTTTCCTCAGAATGTGACTATTTGTTCTCTCACATATTGCCCAACAGGCAATTACCCTATTAGGGCAACGTTTTGTTGCTAAAGACATGAACTGAAATGTAAATCAGATGTAAATCTGCTAATTAAATTGGTAGGTAACGAACTTGTCATGAGATCAGGTGCATTTTGCTGACAAACAAGAGGAGCCACTGCTTGCTGGAGTGAAGGTTGTTGAGTGTGTTGCCTCCATAAATCTCTCCTTCCCCAACTTTAAAGGTGGGGGATGTGTCATCAGAGCCCAGAATGAAGCTGGACTGGGATTTTCCAGAATTCATAGAATGGTTTGGGTTGGAAGGGACCTTAAAGATCACCCAGTTCCAACCCCCTGCACGGGCAGGGACACCTCACACTAGATCAGGTCACTCAAGGCCCCATCCATGAAGACCTGCAGGGAAGGGGCAGCCACAACCTCCCTGGGCAACCTGTTCCAGCATCTCACCACCCTCCCAGGAAAGAACTTTATTCCTAACGTCCAACCTCATGAAATGATTCCCTCCCATTTCCTCCTGACCAACCTCACTGCAAGGCAAGGAGTCCCCGCACAGGAACTGGATGATCTTTCCCACCCCAATCACTGCCCAACTCCCCGGCACCACCTCCCCAGGCAGCAGGATCAAGACCTGGTCGGTGAGGAAGGAGGGTTTGTAGGTGCCATCCGTGGAGGTGTTGCCCGTGCCCCTGAGGGACTTCATGTGTGACACAGCCATGCGCAGGATGGTCAGCTTGTCGGGCTTGCGGGCCAGGGCGCTGCAGGTGGGCACCATGTCGGACAGCTCGGTGATGTAGGCCGTCATCTTGTTCCGCCGCCGCCGCTCGATCTCGCTGTGGTTTTCCCTGGAAAACAAACAAACAAAAACCACACGAGGCCAGGGAGGAGAGGAGGAAGTTACCCCAGGGAGGGGGACTGAGGTCTCGAGGTGGGGAGGTTGTGGGGGGGGAGGGGGTGTCTCCCCACGTTGCTTTCCAGAGTGCAAAACACACGGGAGATGCTTCGGGGCGGGACAGGAGCTGCACATGCTGGGCGTGCACGAGGGGAAGGAGGGCAAGGAGGAGAGTCTGTGGTTGGACCTTCCTGGCTGCAGGCAGGAGCTTGGCCTGGGCTCCCACCACCCCCCTGGGGAGGCACCAGCCAGGCCGAGCTGCCCCAGCAGAGCAAGAAGCTGCCTCAGGGCTCCTGCTGCAACAAGAGGGTTTTTCTCTTGCTCTGCCTCCTGGTGCTGAGGGAACCTGCTGCTCCAACAGCTTTGCTGCAGCCTGGAAGGACTGATCCCACCCATTGCTTCTCCCAGGGTGAGCCATGTCCCCTCTCTGTCACTTTCCAGACAACATGTGCCTCCATAACCAGACGCCAGGGCTGCAGCTGAGGCACCTCAATCACACCAGAGGAGCCTCCCCTGGCAGTGCCTTCATGGGGACACTTCTCAGTGACATCCAGAGCCTCTCACAACACCGTGGCAGGAGGGAAGGGCTTCAGGGGGGACATGCACCTGACTCTGTACAGTTCCAGGCCAGTGTGGACAGCCCAGGCACACATACAGACCTCCCAAGAGGCTCTATGACCAACACTGCCCACCTAGAGTCCTCCAAGAGGTTCTCCACACACCTCCTGCAGGGAAGAGTCCCCACCAGCCCCAGAGGGCAAACATCACTTGTTTACACATGGTTCTTTCATCCAGTACATGGAGTTTAACTGGGTTGCTAAGGTGGGTTTCTCAAACCAGATCCTAAAAGCCAGGTTTCCCATAGAGAAGGATGGATGGGATGCAAGAAGCACATGGTGAGATGGAAAGTGTTGGAAGGAACAGACAGGCAAGTGAGCTGAAGAGGATAAACAAAAATGGAGCATTTCTCACTGCCAGGTGGCTGCAGTCACTCAGTGACCCTGCCCTTTGCTGCAAGAGACTGACCCTCAGGAAGCCAAGTGCTCCAGTTCTCACACTCCCCTTGGACTCAGTTCCTCCAAACCCACGTGGTCAGGTGTCAAAATGAAGCCACCTTCACTGCAAAGCTCCTGGGAAACCTCAGGCCACTTCCCTGCCCCACTGCCCAGGATTCTTTACCACAGGCTCTGGTGTGACAGTGACCACTGAGAGGTGGGGCAGGGGGAAGGGTTGTTTCTTCCCCAGAGGATAAACCCCTGAAGAAGCACCACTGCACTCCCAGCCCCACCTCTGGTGTCTCCTTATCTCCTCAACAATTTAAACTCTGCAGCTGGGCCTGGGGCTTTTGTTTTAAAACCAGCCAGCAGGCAATAAACTGACCAGAACTGTGGCATTCTCCCCTCCCAAGAGCCTCTTCAGCCCCATGTGTTGCTCAAGAACCAGCCCGGGGTGGGTGGGACAGTCCTAAGAAGTCCCAGGGTGGGTTTGTGGGATGCAAACCTCCAAGCAAGGCTTCCTGCAAGAATGACCAACCCCAGGCTCTGCAGACACCAGCTGGGGTGGAAACAGCAGCAGCCTCCGTGGGAACTTCAGACACTTCTCATTTTGCAGCTGAGAAGGGGGAAGGGGCACATTTCAAGTTGGGGGGGTGGTTTCTGCTGAAGAAACAGTCCTGCCAACACTGTGTCACCCAGCTGCTCTGGGGGTACAGCCCTGCACCACCACCACCCTCCTGCACCAAAATACAACACCTGAGGTACCTGCTCTGGTCATTTCAGCCACAGTTCCTCATTAATTACAAACAGAAACTTGGGGTAAATACAGAAGTTCTGCTCTCAGTGAGCCCAGGGTGCTGCAGAGGGCAGGACACCACCCTTCCTGGAAGCTTTAAGGGGTAGAAAAAACTGAACTAGTTCACTTTTAAGGCCCGTTTTGACAGCAGGACAACATTCCTGAGACAAATCCTCACCAAGGAGAGAGAGAATTGCCCCTTTGGCACCTTGATCCAGCCCAGGAGAAGTTGTGTTCAGCACAGGTTAGCAAAGCTGCAGCACTCAGAGAAAGCAACAGCCCAACCATGCTCTGCCCTGAGCTCCCTGGCAAACAAATCCTTCTGTGTGCTCCCCAGAGACACCCTGACCAGGGGACCCGAGGCCTTTCCCCTCCTAATTCCAATTACACAGAGATTTCCAGAGGTCTGCTCAGCTTCAAGTCCTCTACTGCAGCAGATGGGGGAAAGAAGGGAGGAAAAAAAAAAGAGCAGGGATGCCTAGAGAGACATTGAGGAAAGGAAACACTCTGCTTGTCCATGCTTGAAATCTCCAGTCTCCTACCTGGCAAGTCTCTCCTTATCCGCTGAGCTCTGCTCATCATCAGACCTAAAAATAAAACCAGCGAGCTAAGCTGAAATGGAAGAAGTGTAAAGAAATGGAAAATGGGAAGATGTTCCTAGGAAACCCAGCCTATGGACACCTCTGTTTTGCTGTTTTCAACTCTACAGAACAAAGCAGCTGTTGTTAGTCTGCAGCAGGACACAGGGCAGGTGTCTGCAGGTCCTCAGGCTGTTCCCCAGGGGCAGCTCTGCCTCCCACGGGGCTGAGGTGCAGCTTCACCTGAGCAGGATGGAGTTAATGGGAGAACTGGGAACTGCAGCCCCAAGTTTTCTTTGAAGAAAAATAACCAGCAGCTTCTTTGATGGCATCCTTCAATCAGAAACAGCAGATAAAACCCACCCCAAATTCAAAGGGTGTAAAGTTCACAGCTAAACACACGTTTCTGTAGCTCCACAAACAGCACTTGGGACAAGGCAGCTGAGGTGGCTCCACGAGAGGCAGCACTGGGGGGTGACAGCACAGGGACCCCTCCACAGCCCCCAAGGGGGTGTGACAGCACAGGGACCCCTCCACAGCCCCCAAGGGGGTGTGACAGCACAGGGACCCCTCCACAGCCCCCAAGGGGGTGTGACAGCACAGGGACCCCTCCACAGCTCCCAAGGGGGTGTGACAGCACAGGGACCCCTCCACAACTCCCAGGGAGGAGGAACCTGACACCTGGTTTTGCAGAGCCTGACTGTGAGCCTTCCTCACAGAGGTCTGGCTGCCTTGGAAAACAAACTATCCCCCAGAAGCTACTGCAGAGGAAGAAGAAGGCACCAGACACAGTCAGGAAGGCAGGAACACACCATCCCAATGGCTGAACTGCTAAAAATCGCCTGTGGATTCATGCAGTGTGGGAGGTGGCTACAGCTGTGGGACCCTGCCACCTCCAAGGGGGTGAACACTGCAAAATAACTCCTCACATTCACCTCCACCTTCTCCTTTCACCTCCCACCACCCGAGGAGGGAAGAACATTCCCAGGGTTGGTTTGTTCCTTCCCTCCTCACCTGCCAAGGATGCCCAGAGGGACCAGGAGCCCAGCCCAGCTGTGGCTCTGCAGGCACAGAGCAGAACTCTCTCCTGAAGGGCCATGACCTGCTCAGCACTGCAGCACCCACCCTCAGCACCTGCTTTTTTTGGTATTTTACACTCTCTTGGCATTTCAGGGCATTATTAGGACCTTATTATACCTTAAGCTCCCAGAGCTATTCAGTTTGGGCTGGCAAAAAAGATTTCTAACCTGTTTAACCTCAGAACAAGTCAAACCATTTAAACAGCAGGAGAGCCCCAGCACCACAGTGGCAGGTAACAGAGTGACAGGGACCTGGAGTTCTGGTTTTGACCCTTTTTTGTTGTTGCCTCCCTGCACCGAGGCACTGACACAGGTTTAATGTCTCAGCCAGAGCTATCAAGGCTTTGCAAAATGCCTCCTCTTTCTTCCCAGACTGGTTTCAGTGCACAAGCCCAGTGAAAGTCCAGGGAAAAGGCCCCTGTCCCCATCACCACTCCTGGCTCCTCCTGCCACAGGATCACCCTGCAATTTCCAGCACGTTCATGCACCCTCACTTGGGCAAAAACCTGACACACCAACACAAACTAACCCCCTGAAATACTTAAACTGAGCTCCATGGGCTTCAAAAAGCTGAAAAAATCCTATCAGGCTAGTCCCAGATGGCACAGAGCTGCTTTCAGACACCAACAATCAGAGTCAAAACCTTGCCCATGATGTTCCTGCCCACGGATCTCCAGAAATTCCTCATTTATAGAGAAAGCTTCAAATTCCCCCCCTCCAAAACACACAAACCACATCTGCCAGGAAACCCTGTCCAAGTAAAATTGAACTAAGGATGAAACTTGTCTCTGAGTATGTTTCTTGAGCAGGAGGGAAAGAAAGAGTCCAAGGCAACAGCTGAAAGAAATGGTGAAAAAGAGGAAGGTAATTTCATCACACTCATAATGAACTGGTCCAGAAACCATCAAGGAGAATGTCTGGATCCTTGGGTGCACCTTCCTTCAAAGGGAGAAGATCTAATGGCCAGTTAGGTGGTGCTGCAGGATCTGTCTCACAGTTAAGGTGGTTTGGCACCAAAAGCTTCAAGAACTGCACCATGGCAGATTCTTACCTGGCAAATCTCTCCTTATCATTGGGCATCGGGTCATCGTCACACCTGGAAAGCAGAGAGGAAGGAAGTTCTTAAAGGGGTGACACTTCTTTCCCAAAGGCAGCCAGGACAGGGTTTAATGAGGGGCAAAAAAAGGCAGACCCTGCTGGGTAGAGGCAAACCAGAGCTACACTCCTCATTTAGCCAGATAAAAGACAAAGGGTTAATGATTTTTTATCACCTTGGCCATGTTTTCCACACCACATTCATCCCCAGCACAATCACACACAAAGAAACAGGTTAAACTGCACTTGGAATATCCAGTCAGTCCCAATCAAGACCCTCATCCCCAGGGTCTCTGGAGGGAAATGCCCAGTTTGTTTCCAAGTCATTCCACAGCCTTTAGAAGATGGTGACACACGGACTTCCAGCAGAGCCCAATCCCAAACCACGACTACAAATAAAGGACACAAGATCTTCCAACCCTTCTGTGCTCCATATGGATCACAAGAGGAGGAACTTGCAGCCTGGCCAGCTCCTTGGGAGTGGGGGTGTCTGTAGCTAAACCATCCTCCCAACAGATGAGAGCTGAGCAAGACGTGTCAGAGGCCCTAGGAAAGCTCAGCCTCTCGCTCTTGTGCTGACAAGCTGTTGGCAGGAGGCTCTTCCCTCTGATCAGGAGGGGCTGGGCCAGCAGCCCTGCTCCTGCAGCACCCAGCAGGGTGCTGGAAGTGTCCATGGGATCCAGCTCAGCTTTTGAGATGCTGGGATCAAACCCAGCAGCACAATAGAGCTGCTCAGCCCAGGGCTCGGGGGCCTGGCTCCTGCAGCTGACCTCACCTGGCCAGGGGGCTGGCACAGGAAGACCCCAGATGGAGCCCGTGTCCAGGGGGTGACAGGATCCCCCCCCAGGAACAGCCCCTGCTCTGCAGCCACAGCCCCCACATGCTCAGCAGCTCTGCGTTGGCATCAGCTCCAAAGCTGGAGGAATGCTGCTGACCCAGGGAAGAGCTTCAAGAATTGGAACAACTGCCTCCTTCAGATCACCCTGCTTCCCTCTGTGCTGCTGGAGAGGAAAGGCCACAGGAGCAGCTCTGGGGGAGGCACAGGGACACACCGAGACCCCCCAGCAGGAACCTGAGGGTGCCACCTTCTCCCTCACCTGAGGAATTTACTGTTTCCTTCTCCATCATCATCAAAATCGAGCCTGAAAAACAGAATTGACAAGGTAACGATCAACCAAGAGGTTCCTCCTTCAAAGGCTGCTTTTCCACCTGCCCCTACAGGGATGCAGATGATTCCTGACAGGAAGATTTTAAGTAGCTCCAGGGGATAATGTGAAAGAAGCCACGCAGTTAGAAGGGGGCTTCTGCTCAGGAGACAGGCAGCCCCCGGGGGGCACCCCCTGCAGCACAGCAGTGTCTCCCAGCAGCACCCCAAGCCCTACAGGCTGCCAGGGCTGCTTCTCAGTGCCCTGGGACAGACCCACAGGCTCCAAACTGAGCCCTCCCGACTCCAGAGCTTGAATCAGTCGTTCTTTGAAAGAAGAGAGGAGGGCAAAACACTTCAGGAGTTCAAGTTCAGGGGGGTGACCTGCATGGCTGGGGCCCTCAGCTCCAGAGCAGACAACACTGAGGTGTTTGCTCCAACAGGGTCAAAAAAACATCCCTATGAGTAGCCGGGAGAGGACAGAGGGAAGAGAGGAAAGGCTTTTTTTCTCTCCAGGAGGGAAAGTCGAGGTGGCAGCAGCGCCTGTTTGTAACGGAGTGGGAGGAAGAAGTGGGAGGAGCTGCAGGGGCGGGGGAGCCCCAGCAAATGGAGGCAGGGGAAGAGCCAGGGCCTGGGGGCGGGCAGGAGATGTTAATACGTTCGAAAGTTGAGAGGAAATTTCTTGTGCCAGGAATTGGAAGAGCAGCCACTCATATCCTTTTAATTTGCAAAGGCATTTTTAGCAAACAAAAAAGCCTCCCACAAGCACACTGCGGCTTCCCCCCCACCCTCTCCGGGGAGGGGACAGTCCCAAAGGTCTGGGGAAGGCCCCAACATTCCCACCCTCTGCCTCCCCCCACGGGCTCATCTCGCTGCTCCAGCCACTCCTGTGCCAACCCGTGCTGAGCAAACCTCTTCCTCGAGGTGCAACTCAATTTTTAATCCCCTTTTTATGAGTATGGCTGGCATGAAGCTCAGCACCACAGGGGAAAGGGAGAGGACCAGCACACCTGAGGGACGAGGCCACCTCCGCTCCGCAGAGGACAAGTTCCCTCACCCCAAGGCTGCCTGCTGGTTCAAGAGCACAATGCTTCCTCAAAACCCACACTTCACACACACACACCTCCCCAGAAAAGCACCAAGCCCAGAGCACCCACTCACCCTGGACGTCTCTTGGTGGCTCTTTGAGCGACGGCTCCTCCTGCCGGAGCGCCCGGCCCGGGGTTCCCTGCGCCCAGCGAGGACACCTCCGAGGCCATTTCTGGGGAGGGGGAAACACAAAATGAACCAGCGTTAGGTCAAAGTCCCTGTGGTCGGTCAGAGGTGGGGAGATCTCCACGAACTGCCCCCTTTAGAAGCCACTGCATGTCAGCATCTGCTGGGGGTGGGTTTGGGTCGGAGTCGGCCCCGCGCGCACACCCTGCTCATCTGCTCCAAAGCTGAGATCCCGGAGTGAAAAGCTGTGGAATCCTTTGGAGCCAGAGGAGGAGCCTGGCGGGATGGTGGGTGGGGGCTGGACCCTCCCCATGTGCTGGCTGCAGGAGGGGTGGAGAGCTGTGGCTTTGCCCAAATCCATGGAAGCTGCTTTTGGGAGAGGGTTTGTTTCCCAACCCGAGAGACAAAGAACGGAGCCTTGGAAGGCGCCTGGGAAGCACCACCCAGACCAGCATTCCCGACCTGTGGGCACCACAGCCACCACCAGCAGGCTCTGCCTCTGCTCCTCCACACCCAGAGCAGAACACTGATCCTTCCCCAGCAGGGCCCTGTCTCCATGGAGCACTGGGGCTGCCTTCCCTGGGGCAAAAAAAAAACCCTTCTGTTTTACAGGTAGAAAAAGTGGCAGAAGCAGCAGGAAACCTGATCGGTGCTTCTTAGGGATGAGACAGGCAGGGAATGCTCTCCAGAAGTGTTGGGTTTGTGGAGGTCACACCACCCCGTCAGAGAATCACAGATCGTGGAATGGTTTGGGGTGGAAGGATCTTAAAGATCCTCTAGATCCAACCCCTCCCACCCTCCAGTGGGTTTATTATTTGGACACAAGAGGCAATTTTTTCCCCACGAGGACAATAAAACATTGGAATAGTCTCCCAAGGGAAGTGGTGGATCTTCCCACATTGGACAGTTTGAAGTCTCAGCTGGACAGGATGCTGGATAGGTTGGACCAGATGATCCTGGAGGTCCCTTCCAGCCTTCCATGACTCTAGGATTCCCTAATCCCAGTGCTCTGGGAGCAGCTGTACCAGGCTCTGGAGATGCTCAGAGCCTGGTCAGCACAGCTGGGGTTGAACCCACCTCACCAGAGCTGCCCTCAGCCTCCTCCGACACCAACAGCCCAACCTGCACCAGCACCAGAGCTTTTACACAAGTTTTGAGGAGGTTTTGGCAGTTTCTGCAACAAAACCAGCTCTGTCCTCGTTTGAGCAGCTGTGGTTTGTGAAGTTTGCTGCTCAGCAGCTGCCAGGCTGCCCCCAAGTCCTGGCTGCAGCCAGAGAATCTGTTCCACCACCTGCAAACCCAGCTGTGCCTTGAAGGTAGAAAACCCACTTCTGCTTTGTCAAAGTGGAGAAGACCCCAAAAAAACCAAACCCCAAAGGACCCCCCCCAAAAAAAAAACCCTTGCTGGGGCTCCCAAACACCCAGAGCTGCTCACACATGAAATGCTGCCAAACTAGGGAGACAAAGATCCAAGTTAGGCTCAAGAAACATGGCAACAAACTGAGGCTGAAGCTGTGAGGCCACCTGAGATCAGCTCAGCTGGACACAGCAGCTCCAGCCCCCTGGAAACAAACTTTGGGAATTTCTGCCAGGAAAACGTTCATCCTTTCCCACAGTAACACTGTTGGCCCCTGTCACTGCCTGGTTTTTTCTCTGCCAAGCAGCTGGCACTGCTGAAGGAGTTTCTGCCTTCCCAGTCCATAGTATTTCCCAGAGGTAAGAGCTGGGATAAGCATCCAGCTGGAAGCTTGGCCATCCAAGGGGCCAACAGCACCAGCCCCAAAGAGCAGCAGGAGGAGCAGAGCAGCTGCAGCCCTGACTGCAGCAGCACAGCCCAGGGCTGCTCTCCAGCTCCCCAAATTGAGACCAATCAGGGACGGAGACTGGGATTTTTAAAAGATTAATTGGAAGTTGGTGGTTTCCAACACCTGAACATGTTACAGTCTCAGCTGGGAAATCTGTCCTGAGGTGACTGGGTCAGGTCAGCTGGTGTGATCCATCTGAAATCTCTCCATCCACCACAGACCTTCCTCACCTCCTCTCCCCTTGTCTCCAAGATCACTAAGACACCCTGTGCCCCTTCCCTCATTTCCAAGCAAACTCCCAAGTGCAGGAAGGCCTGATATCAAAGGTCCTTGCTGAGCAGAACGTGGCCCTGGGTGCAAGCAATCAGGTGAGAAGGTTTATTCCTCCTCCCCAGAAGCCTGTAGCTTTCCAACAGCTCCCAACTGAAAGTTTCTGGAGCAAGGCAGAGAACCATTTCATCAAGGAGGGAGGAATTTCCTCTGAGGGGCAGGGGAAGGAAGTGACACTGAGCTTTTCCTCTGCAAATCAGCTTTTAAATCAGGCCAGGGAGGGGTCTCTGTTTGTTTTCACAGGCCTCATCTGAGCCTGTGCTGCTCCTGAGGAGCCTCCTGCCCAGAGGAGCATCTCACACGGTGGGAACATTTCCCTCCCACAGCTCAATGTGGCCCCTCACACGTGGGAGAACAGAAAATACCTTGAGATCTTCCAACAGAAGTTGGTCACAGTTTGTTCTGCACACTGAGGGAGAGCATCCAAACGGGTGTGTACCCCAAAAACAGGGCAGGGGGTAGGAAGAGGCTTGTTCACCCTTCAGAATTTCTGGAATACTCACACAACAGCAAAGCTTCCCAAAACCCTCATTTCCCCTAGTCCCAGCCTCTCTTCAAAGCCCAGATGTCACCAAAAGCCCCCCTTGATCTTGCTCAGAAGGCAGAGTGGGCTTCAGGGGTCACTGCTGCAATGAGCACTGTCCTTGTTGGGTCTCTGCTCCCAGCCCCTTCCAGAACCAATCCCTGCTTCCCTTTCCCATGTGCTCCATCCAATTAAGGCCAGCAGAGATGGGAGCAGCACAGAGAAACCACCTTGTTTGTAACTGAATATCAGCCTGGAAGCACAAACCCTCCTGCAGCCAAGCCACCCAGAATAGCACAGGCTGGAGGGTCGCTCTGGGAATGGCATCTCCAGAGCCCCAGCTCCCAGTCCAGCTCTCCTGGGAAAGGCTCTGTTGCAACTCCTGGCATCTCCACAGTGAAAAAATAAAAGCTTCAGAAATACAGTCTCAGAAAAAAAATATTTCAGAGTTGTGATTTACGAGGCAGGGCTGCCAAGAGCTCTGAAATGCACTTTTATTGTCCCGCTCGCTCTGCTCCGGGCGGGCACTGCACAGGGCAGGCCTGGAGGTTCCTGCTGCAGTTGGAGCTGAGGGTTGTTCCCCCACTTCAGCCCAAAGAGGAGTTTAAATTTAACCATCAAGGAGCCCCCCAAAAAGCCAAGGAAGTTCCCAGGAGGTCTGGAGCAGATCAAAGCTGCCAAGAGAAACCAGAGCTCTGCTGCGGAGGCACTTGGAGAGATTTGAGCTTCAGGGAAATGGGGATTTTTAGGTGGTTTGGATTTCCCAGCTCATCCCCAGGGGAACCTGCTCCAGCTCCTCATCCCCAGGGGAACCTGCTCCAAGAAGCATCACAGAAGATAACTAAAGAAGCCCTGAGTGTACCTCCCTTGCCAAGTACCTGACATCACCCAAGGAATGCTGCAGGTGAGCCTCATCACATCCTCACCCCATCAGCACCAGAACTGCCCTCAGCACCCAACTTCAACTCAAACCTGTACATTAATGCTATTAAAACGAGCAAACTACTGCAAGCAAGGCCAGCCACTCTCCTTTTTCAGCCTCTCCCCACATTTCCAGCCCATCAGGGGCTTCTATCCACTCTTCACTCCCACCCAGGCAACTTCACCAACATGATACCAGCTTCAATTGGCACATGGGGAGACTTTCACCCCAGTGCTCCCCACAGCTGGAGTCTCTCCCAGTTAAAACAAGACCAGGGAGCTGGGATGGGAGGGCTCAGGCTCACCTCACCCTCAGGAAGCTGAGGGTGCTGGAAGGGTTTGCACCTTTTCCCAAGGGATTTATTTTGCTGATCATCTCTCTGCATTTCCCCCTCAGCTTCAAAGGGCCCAGATAATTTTGGTCCCTCCATCCACCCACAGTGAGAAACATTAAGCACAGATTTTCTGAGCTCTTTCCCCCTCTCTCTCTCTCTTTCCTCCTTGGGAATTAATTTAAAGCTCTCCCATTATGCAAAACATGGGGTGACTCCCAGGACTCCACTGTCACACTCAGTTTAAAACCAGACGGATCCTCCTCCCCTCACCTACTGGATCCCCTGGCTCCTCTTTTTCTCAATATTTAAAGATACAAGAGGTTCCTGTATCATCAGAATGAACACTACTGCTAATAAATAATAAATCTTCCTTTAGCAGTTCCACTGAACAGTCCTCAATAGACCTGGACATGTCACACAGCCCAAGATCTCACCAGCCTCAAACCACAAGCAAGAACAGGCAGAAACCACAAGCCAAAATAAAAAAATAATTTAAAAAACCCACAGAAGCTCAAATTCTGATGCCAGTCACCACGTTATAAACCCATTACAGCTTCACAGGCACCAGGTTGTCCCAGAGACACGCTAATTTCAGAGCAATTCACTCAGAAATCTGCCAAAGCCTGAAAGATCCCATTTTATTTGGCAAGCACCAGATCCCACCAACTTCCAGCTGCCTCCACGCAGGGACTCAGCCCTTGCTCAGCAACCTGAGAGAGGAAAAGTTGGAATATCATCTTGCTTTCTGCAGGCAGGCACTCACAACCCTGGTGACACACCAGCTTATCCCACCCAGCAGCTCAGAGAGAACTGGGGATTCCTAAGAGTCCCTTTGGAAGCAGCACATCAGGGTTGGACTGGTGCTAATTCAGAAAGACACAGGGTCCCAAAGCAGCACAAAGTGACTCATTAAGGGCAATAACCAGCAGCCTCCCTGGAGGATGGGAAGCAGACCCCAGGTGCATGTCAAACCCCAAGTGCTGAAGCTCAGGGAGCTGACAGGAGCACCAGCACCTCCCTCCCCAGCACAAGGAGCTCACACACCGTTTCCTTCCCCCACCTCCCTTCCCAACCAGCCTGCTGCTCAACAAAGTGCCTCCTGTAAAACTCTCTGCCATCTGACAGCCACA